TTCAATTCATTTCATATAGCCAATAGAGTGGTAGATTAGTGTTCTTTCGCCTTTATTATTTAATATCCACAGAGATAATTGAAATGGTACAATGAGCAAATTTTAATTGGGACTACATTTGAAATAAAATGCTTTATATATTAACAATTTTTATTTATGCTTATGATATGCGATTGATAAGTCCTTCTGTTGCAGGTTCAGGGAGATTAACAAAGATATTTGAACGTTACGCATTTAAGAATGATATTATAAATAATACAAAAACAATGTTATGCACGGTTTTTCATTCTACTTCTCTGTGCATCTCAACGGCCATGCACTTACGTATTTAAAAAAATAATACTTATTTGAGTTTTTTTGTAAGATCCAATTTGTCCAATGATGAAGATATTGATGAGACTTCACTAATGTGTGTGTGTGCTAGAACAAACATGCTTTTACAAAATTTTAGAAATCGTTTTTTGAAAATCAAACTGTGTTTATTCAAATCTTATTGATGCACAATGTATTGCACACCTTTGTGTACAAATGTTAGTGGATGTATAAAAATAAATGAAAGCATTGTTTATTTAAAAAATAGCGTTCATTTACTATTATGCCTTCCGGGATCAAAAAATGCCTCAGCCATGTTTGGAAAATTAGTATGCAATCAGGTTTCAAGAATTAATTAGATGTGTTTCCAAGAATATCTAATAGTAAGAACTGAATGTTGACATCCCTATGTAACTACGATATATGATTTAATTATTAGATAGATAGATAGATAGATAGATAGATAGATAGATAGATAGATAGATAGATAGATAGATAGATAGATAGATAGAACAAAGTACTCTTTAAATGTCTTACATAACTATGCTTTCAACAACCGCATACACGTTTTATAGTTGTACATGTGTATGTATATTTGTACATAATACACTTATGGCTCTGTGTTTAAATGCACTGACTTTAATTTAGAGATATGGACCATACAGTCTGAAATATTAAAAAATCTGTATAAATTTTATTAAAATACTTTTCAAACAAAAAATATCCCTACAATTTTGAAACAAAATCAAAACGAAAACAAACTGGTAAATATAGAAGTTTTCCTAATTGTTGCAGTGTCTCTTCTTGCAATTAAAACAAAATTCATCTCCCTCTCTCTTTTGGTTGCCTTCACATGCCTCCTAGAATTGTCTTTTGTCTTGATATACAAAACGAAATTACCTTCTATCAAAGACCATTCATTACTTGTACTATTTTATGCTGTTATTGAATGCTACTCCGACTTTCTCATCTTAGAGTCCATTGCAAACCGTTATTAAATGTTACTCAGCCCTACTTTACGTAGAGTATATTTTAAGCCGTTACTGAAAGTTATTTCGGCTTCCCCTTCTTAGAATCCATTCCAAGCCGTTATTAAACTTCCTACGACTTGGTATGAATTATACCGTCTTAAAACATTTTTCCAAACTTTGTTTTACATGGAGACTCATGTCAAGATCACTATGTCCGATAAAGGCCTAAATCAAACAATGATCATGACATTAAAACTATTTGCAAATTCCGATGAAGGCTTAAATCAAACCAATAATCATGCCATTAAAACTATTCACTAAGTCCGATGAATTCCTAAATCAAACAATAATCATACCATTAAAACTATTCACTAAGTCCGATAAAGGCCTAAATCAAACCAATAATCATGCCATTAAAAGTATTCACTAAGTCCAATGAAGGCCTAAATCAAACAATAATCATACCATTAAAACTATTCACTAAGTCTGATGAATTCCTAAATCAAAACAATAATCATGCCATTAAAACTATTCACTAAGTCCGATAAAGGCCTAAATCAAACAATAATCATGCCATTAAAACTATTCGCTAAGTCCGATGGAGGATTACATCAAACCAATAATCATGCCATTAAACTTTACACATAGTTTAGGTCGATTTTTATACGTTAGTAAACATATATACATTGGTTACATAATTTATATTTTAGTACATATGCCAATAGGTTACGTCACCCATTACATTTTAGTAAAGATATGCACATAGATTACTGGCTACTGTTGAAATATGTAAATGTTGAAGAGTGGTTCTGCCTCCACGGTATCCTCCGATTCCATTTCCAAACGATTCTCCACCTTTCAAAGAGTGATACGTCTTCTATAGTTTCTAACAGTCTATAACGACTTCTCTCAAACTGTTGAGTTTTATGGTATTGTCGAATTCGGCATACAAGATGACATTCACCGTCAAGGCGAGAGCTTCTGTAAACGGAAGTTCCACACGCAGCTGACACGATTTTATAGGGTAGAAATGTTCCTCGTCGCTGCCTTGGTCTGGAGTGAAATCAAAGGCCCACAAAGTGTAATCTGCTTCATAATCTTCGTACGAAATGCAGTTGCTGGTGTTGGTCCCTTGCTGTCCGGTAGCTTCGTATAGGGACAAGTACGATCTCAAGTAATTCTTCTGGCCAAAATTAGGTCAAAAGGGTCTGGTACACAAATCTTGCCATTGCGACTGACTTCGAGTGCTTAAACTGGAAAAAATTTTGACTGTGGGCTCCGTTGACGGCTACATTACGGACGATACCATCAATGAAACGTTTGGGTTACTGTCCATGGAACAGATGATCTTTGATCTTGGATTGGAGTCCAGCATCAATGGTGAAAGTTTTCACTTCTACGCGTCGTTTCGGATACTTGGCGGTGGTTCTGCTCAAGGTGTGACTGATGTAGTATCCCGCTTTAGGTGAAACGTCTACGCAGCGACCGTGTTTTGTACTCGGCATAAACCGTGAAAATGGAAAGCGGTACTGCTGATTTTCAGTCTCGGACGGATATCCACTGTTTATCAAATAATTCTCTTTCAACCACATGTCCAAATATAAACGATCCATCAGTTCTAAACTATGTCCTTGCAGAATTTTCTTTCGACTGTCGTTAAAACCCACATTATGAGGAGTGTCATCTGCTGTCAGGGCTTTGTCCTTAACCTTGTAATCATCTGCAGTGGCAGGTTTTTACCCTTTCTTGCCTAAAAATTTTTCATCGATTGTATATTTTAAGTTTGATAAATTGATGTTCATCAATCTATGATTGTGTTATAAATGTCTATATCATTATTGTATATATCTCTACCTAGGCAGCCGCGCATATTCAGGACAGCCACTTGCAACATTATTATCAGTACCGTGACGTCATCCCAAATGTTCCATTCCTATTGATACCCATAATAAAATCTTGAGGCTACGGTACAAATGGCCAAATTTCATATTACAGTCTACGTGAGGCTGCGTTATCCCACTATACCACTGATATGACTGAAAAATTGTTAAAGCTAGGTTAAAAATCCAAATCACATACATAGACTCAGCTCCACGTGGACAGAGGTGAGATGTCGGCGACATTATAAAGGTGAATGTTTTAGACCACTCGGCCACCTGGGGCCTCTAAAAACATAAGTAATACACAACAACGTCTATCACTTGCATGATAGAGGTGTTCGGCCTGAAAAGAATTTTTTAACTGTAGATCAATTCAATTTCAATTAAGTCATTGATTATTTATGTCATGTATTTGACAACATAAATATCATCGAGTTTGTTTCCTTTTTAAAGTATTCAAAACAATACTCTTCAATGTGTGAACTTAAGGTGCAAACGGTCTCGAATTCGGAATAAAAGTATATACTTTGTTCTTACTCTGCCCCCCCCAAATATATATATATATATATATATATATATATATATATATATATATATATATATATATATATATATATATATATATAAACCACTTTAAAATATGCTCTTTGGAACCCGCGAATTGGGATTCAGTTTAGCTTTTTAATAGGGATTACTGTACATCATTTGAAAGACTGAACGAGTGAGAAACAACCAGTGAGTTAATTACGATTGGAAGCTCTCTGGACATCTGTATATGGACGTATGAGGCCATCTTGAGTTCATATTTAACGTCGGTATCCTTTTGCCGAACAAATGGGCTACATGTTCCTAATGAAAACTCAAAACAAATGTCAAGAATTTATCGCTGTACTATCATGTTTACATTCTAAAAGAGTGGTGTTCATTTTTGTTTTGTGCAAGAAACTGAAAATAAAGTGAAAGAGAGTAGTTTCTATATAATAATAGAGAAAAATTGTCACATTTAAGTGCAAAAACATCATGTTGACGCCATTGCCAATACCTGGTAGGATGGACTATTTCTTGTTTATTTCTTGTACTCAAAGCTTGATTCAATGTTATTTAATGTCATATGATCTGCATACATGATGGTGGTGGATAGCTTAATGTGATATTGTAAATCATTGATGTACAGTAGAAAGAGTAATGGTCCAAAAACTGATCCTCGTGAACCACCTGTCTTCATCAGTTATCTGAAAATGTCTTTAAATAGAAATTTGATGTTGTCTACCCTCAAAATAGGTTTGAAAGTAAGCTTAAAGGTATGGTACTACTATTTATGTTACTGTCAGAGATCCGGTAGTCTGGTGCAAGAATTACAAGTAAAGCACTAAATATATCATTGGCTAAAATGGTTTTTATTTATCATTTTTATTTTATGGTCTGTACTACCGTTGATATCAATATATTTACTTTTACTTAGATATTCTGGATTTCATTTTCTGCTGGCAAAGCAGCACATAAATTGGTGGTACCAAGCTATATCATTAAGTGCAAATCAGAGAATCCAACTTTTAACAGTAAAAGGCTCAAACTAAAAACTGTCGCAAAACTTCCATTTTTTAAGTCTAATTTCAATCTATGCAAATTTAAAGAAGAAATTATTCTTGTTTTTTTTAATATATTAACATCAAGATATATGGGGAATGAATTATTGGTTCGATCTTGCAATCCAAGTCGAGAATGGGCGACAGTAAGTTGTCATGTTAATACTAGTACGCATCCCTTGCTACGAAAACCACTGCGTCGTTTTTTAGAGTCCTGTATTCTACAACTACGGTATTCCAATTTTTACACCGTTCTGGTGGTCTAGCTGTTAGAACGTCCGCCTCAGATGCAGAAGGTCGCGAGTTCAAACCCCGATGGAGTCATACCAAAGACATAAAAATTGTTCGAACAGCTGATTCCCTTGGCGCTCAGGTTAGTGTTCTTACTGATCGGCGTAATGTCAGAATAATATCATGCTAAATGTCTACGGCATGGTGCCCCAGTGTTCGACATCATTATAAACTACCACACTGCAGACATCGTAGCGATATGACTGAAAATTTTTTAAAGCTACGTTAAAAATCCAAAACACACAAAAACACACACACAAGCACACACGTACTGTCTCTACAACTGCAGTATTCCAATTCTTCTCAGAGAAGTTGTGTCACTATGGAGACGAAGACGATACAATGTTGTAAACTGGACTGGACTATTTCGAGTGAATAAAATGAATTCAAAATTAGAATACAGTTGCCTCAAACATCAGTCATTTGTTGATTTTTCCATGATTACCCCCACTCTAATTCTGTTTGGAAGTAACCTAACAGTTTTCAAATACAACATTACACAAGATCTGTCCTTGTTTCACTAGATGGACTTAATCTTATTTTCCTTGTAATTTAGCATCAAGGTAATCATAAAAAATAGATTCATATTTATCAATGATTTCATTGAAGATTTGAAATAATGTGAATATCCGACGTTGAGTTTCTTTCCTATTCTACTGAATCGTGTTTGCTATTCAATATACAATTAGCCGACCTCATTCTTGATAAAAATGACCTCGATAATATTTGCTAAGAAAGCAAAGTATTAGCATTGATTACCTTCCAAATTTTATTTGACATGCGCAATAATACTCGACGATGGAAGGATGCCACCGAACAGTTTGTCAACGAAAAGGAAATGTTTTCGTGAGTTTTAATTTCCCTTTTGTTTATTTTTTCTCATTATTCATTCATTCATTTATTCTTAGTAGCAGTAGTAATAGTAGTAGTAGTAGTAATAGTAGTGGTAGTAGTAGTAGTAGCAGTAGTAGCATTTATTTACTTTAAACACATTTTATTGGCAAGGAGAAAAAATAACACACTTATACATGCAGGGTATCAACACTGAAAACGCAGTTTGCAACTTACAGGTTCCTCTCCGTTGCAAACATAATTAATTAACGATCATGCAGGAAAGAGTTATGGAAACAGTCGTGACGAAGATACATAAATGAAAATATGAGAGGTATGAAGGAATGATAATAGCGGATAGATAATGTTTGGTGTTCTCAATTATGCATACATTTTAAATACAGTTCGTGAAACTTTTTGTTTAATAAAATAATTCTGCATTTCCTTTCAAAGTGACAATATGGCTCTGTTCCTCTTCAGAGTTTATTTTAAATATGTAAATCTGGATATTCGCTGAAAATATCTCAACTTACCTGATAAGACAGATATTAACATATTGGTTAGACTAATCACTGTGCTTGTCATTCCCGAAATAACCAGAATGTATATAATCCTCTTATGGTGGGTTTCAGAGTGTCCAAGCGTACGCGTACGTACCATGACACAGACGTTGCCAACCACTGACAACATGAGAAGTAACATCAGTAGTAAAGACTTTAGAATGTTGTAATCCTCCATTCCCAAAGATACCCCGGATATTGGTCACTTTACCATTCAACCTGTCTTTTCTAATCAATCAATACAACTATAATGGTTAATCACACTGAACTTCTGTTGCAATTTCAAAATTAGTAAGATGTTAGAAATGATTAGAATAACTGTGTTCTAACTTCACTAATTGTTTCCGTAGAACTTGCTGTTATACCGAAATGGCTATGTTTTTAGGCAAAACATTCCACAATTTCATTCTAGCCTCTCAGTATACTCTGTTTACAGAATTGGCATTAAGTCGCAGAAGTAGGGATTGTGGCATGATGCGAATCAATCAATAGAAATGAAGAAAAACGCACTAGAAACCAATTTAATAGATTATTCCTCTCCTTATTTAAGAATAAACAACTTTTAATAGGCGCGTTTCTCCTGAAGAAATGTGATCAATGCGAACTTTCATCTTGAAACAATTTAAACTACAAACGCATCGATTGTCTTGGATAAGGTGTACTCATTGTGCACTAATCATCGTCAAACTACAAAACCATTTTCAACAGTCGCCGCTTATGATCTAGATGCCTTTGTCTCTTATTTGTAAATGTTTTCGTCATAAAACACAAGCTAAATATCCAGCATCTTAACATGACGCACATCTAATACTACAATCGTCAAATTTTGCTTAAGTCTTAGAAATAACATTGCAACCAATGGTATTATATGAATCGCCCTGAACCTCGCATTTTTCAAACCAATGGCATTAAATGAATCTTCACTGTCTTGTAATATGAACTCTGAGGTATACTAAAGTGGAGCAAATGCAACCAAACTTGATACTGTACTTAGCTTTTCAATGGATAAAGAAAAATCAATTTTATTAAATAGGTCCAACTTTTGTCACTTCTTATATGTATCATTTAATGAAAGTTTATCAATTATTTCATTAAACATCTGACGTTTAATCGACCTTGAATTTTTTGCTGTTCTACTGAATCATGTTTGCTTTTTGCACCAACATTTTTGCCTACCTCAGTCTCGCAAAAAGTGACTTTCATAATACTCTTTATGAAAACGAACGAAAAGCATTAGTTTTCCTCCAAATTTGCTTTGACATGCGCAATAATACTCTACGATGGAAGGATGTCGCCGAATGGATAGGTCAATGACACGGAAATGTTTTCATTAGTTTTTGTTCTACTTTATTTATTTTTTATTTTTTGTTTATTTGTTGTTTTTTTTGTTTATTCATTATTATTATTATTATTATTATTATTATTATTATTATTATTATTTCTATTATTATTATTATTATTATTATTATTATTATTATTATTATTATTATTATTATTTCTATATTTATTTATTTTCAAGACATTTTATTTCAAGAGGAAAATATCTTATACACGCATAGCAAATGCACTGAAAACAAAGTTTATAAATTCCAAATTCCTCTGCGTTATAAATAAAAATTATTTAATAAGCATGCAGGCAAGAGTTATGGAAATGGTCAAGACAGGTGGCGTCGACAAATAAAATGAAAAATGTTGAGGGATGAAGGAATGATAAGAGCCGAGAAATAAAATTTGGTGTGGTCATGTATGTATAAATTTTAAGCGTAGCTTGTGAAACACTTTGCCTTATTACAAATTTCGGCAGTTCTTATTTCCTTTCATAGCAGAATATCTTTCTGCCATGTAATGTTCGTTGCAAAATACAATCAATAGTAAAATATATTACCAAAAGTCTCCGATTGAGTTCATTTCTTTGTTATTAAACAGTCTGCATTAAAAAGGAAAATGAAAGCGTTTTTTTACCGAAAATCTACAGGAAGGAGGGATTTGCGATAAGATATAATTTCAATAAATCATAATTCTGCGAATTTCATTTGTGTCTTAAATTGCTGAAAAGCATAGAAGCTTGGCTATTGCTAAATGCTATATATCCTGGAACAAATGTTTGCAATCGATTTTTTTAAGGTTAATGCAGATGCACACGGAATCGTCATTCAAAATAGACAATTATCGTGTCATAGAATTACTCCAGTTTTGATTTGTTTCATAAAGTGTATTTAATTAGAAAAAAATTAAACGTGATGTTTTGTTACATCTTAATTTTAGAAATAAAACCAATGTCTGAAATTACGCATCGACTCGACAGATGAACTAAATTGATACTGTGTAATATTTCTTGTACAGCAGCAGAATACTTTTCTTCCTGAATGAACTTCACAAAAGTAAAACACTGTACAATAGACAATCTAACAGCAAGTAGTATGAAAAGGTTAGATGAGGCTTCAATAAAGACTTCAATTTCAAAGTGACAATAGGACTCTTTCCCTCTTTCAAGTTTATTTTAAAACTTTAAATCTGGATATTCGCTGAAAGGATTCTTTCCCTCTTTTAAGTTTATTTTAAATCTTTAAATCTGGATATTAGCTGACAGCATCTAATCTTACCTGATAAGACAGATATTAACATCTTGGTTAGACTAATCACTGTGCTTGTCATTCCCGAAATAACCAGAATGTATATAATCCTCTTATGGCTGGTTTCAGCGTGTCCAAACGTACGCGTACGTACCATGACACAGACGTTGCCAACCACTGACAACATGAGAAGTAACATCAGTAGTAAAGACCTTAGAAGGTTGCAATCCTCCATTCCCAAAGATAACCCGTATCTTGGTCACTTTACCATTCAAACTGTCTTTTCTAATCAATCAATATAACTGTAATGGTTAATCACACTGAACTTTTGGTGTATTTTCGAAAGTATTAAGATGTTAGAACTGATCTGAAAAACTGTTCTTGCTGCACTATTTTTTTCCGTAGAACTTGCTGTATATGTGGTCATTGACAAAAATAAGCGAGTGTTGTCAGCCTATGCACAGAACTGGCATTAAGTCGCAGAAGACGAGGTTGTGGCATGATACGAATCAATCAATAGAAATGAAGCAACATGCCCTCGCAACCAATTTAATAGATTACTCCTCTCCTTATTTAAGAATAAACAACTTGTAAAAGGTGCTCTTCTCCTGAAAGAATGTGTTCAGTGCCAACTTTCATCTTGAAACAATTTAAACTACAAACGCATCGATTGTCTTGGATAAGGTGTATCCATTGTGCACTAATTATCGTCAAACTACAAAACCATTTTCAACAGTCGCCGCTTATGATCTAGATGCCTTTGTCTCTTATTTGTAAATGTTTTCGTCATAAAACACAAGGTAAATATCCAGCATCTTAACATGATGCACATCTAATACTACAATCGTCGAATTTTGCTTAAGTCATAGAAATAACATTTGTTGCCTATGGTATTATATGAATCGCTTTAGACCTCACATTTGTAACCAATGGCATTTCATGAATGTTAGCCTAGACTGCTGTGTTGTAAATTTGAACTCTGTGGTATAATACGATGGTGCAAATGCAGCCAAACTTGATATTATCCGTAGCTGTGAAAAAGATAAAGAAAACTTAATTTTATTAAATAGGTCC